CGACCTGTCCAGGGTGTACCCCGCCCCTCGCACAGTGATTGCTGGACATGGGCACCAGCGACCCCCGTGACCCAAAATGGAATAAGCGGGTAAAGATAATGGATGGATGGATGGATGATTCATAGGTCAGAGTTAAATAGTTTATCAAACCACAAAATGTTCCTTTGGGTGTGACGTAGTAGAATAACATGAGTAAGAAGACAGCTGAAGCCCAGAGAAAGATGAAAAAAAAAATCTGAGCTCTATAAAACGTCTGAAACAAATTATAAATAAATGAGGCATAATTTAAGACTTTTGCACAGCACCTTCCCTCTATTTGTGTTTGAGATATTAAGACAACCAGGGCAGGACTAATCCGGATGTGGGCCCTGGGCTAGACCAACTTTTGGGGCCTTAATATTACTTTTTAATGCAAACAAATGACATGTGCAGTTTCAAGGGTTCTAAAGCAGAGCTGCACTTAGCTTTAATGTAGTACATTTCTCAAGTCAGAAGCACAAAAAAATCAAATCTACAGCCATAACAACTAGAAAGTCTGCTCGGTCATGGTTTAGGTTTTTAATTAGCCATCACTACTCAGATGGATCGGAAACGGTTTCTCAAATATTATTATTTATTCATTAATACAATCTAGTTTTTTATGGATCATGTAATTTCAAAATGACAATGGGAGATAAAAGTTCAAATCAGAAATATGAAACGGTGTAATGTCTGCTCATTACACCAAGCAAATAAACTGCATCCAGAATTTAAGCTTAAAAACTAATTAAAATGTTAGATTTAAAAAAAGCAGAGCTACTACTTGGTCAAATGAGCAATGATAGGTTGTTTGATATAATTTACATCCATAAATAGATTTTGCTCAATGGATGTTAAGATGAAGGTGAAAATACAGCATATGTATTACCTACATGTAGGCAATTCAACACAATGGTACTTCTTATTTAACTGTTAACAATGGTATACCACAAGGCTCTGTCTTAGGACCCACTCTGTTCACAATCTACATAAGTAGTGTAGGTCAGATCATTCCTGATGCATCCTTACATTTCTATGCCGATGATGCAGTTGTTTATTGTCGAGCTAAAACAGTTGCTAAGGTTTTCCAGCTCTTACTTTCTTTGACATCAACCAGTCAGGTTTGTTCTGTCTCAAACTGGTGCTAAATGCTGATAAAACCAAAAGGATGTTGTTTTCAAACAAAAAGTTCCTTCTATCTTATCTACAAATAGTGTCTCTATTGTGTTTGTAGATTTTTATAAATACTTTGGAATCTTGGTCGATGCACATCTCTTTCAAGCCTCATCTCGAAAACTTGATAAAGAAATTGAAATTAAAATTGGGTTTCTTTTTCAGAAATAGATCTAGCTAAACTCTGAATGCTAGGAAACACCTTGTAACTGCTACTTTCCTTCCCTCTATTAACTATGGTGACATTATTTACATGAACGCTCCTACAAGCGCCCTGCAGATGTTGGACGCTGTCTATCACGATGGGCTAAGATTCCAAACTGGTTGTAACTACCGTACCCACCACTGCACTCTGTATTCACTGGTTAACTGGTCATCATTAACTTCACACAGACTCTCACACTGGTACATTTTCATCTTTAAATCACTTCTTGGTCTGCTGCCTTCATACAGATAAGGTACACACAACAATAAACAGCCATAAAATGTATATATAATGAAAAGTAAATAAAAGTAGTGATATAAAACAAAATAAAAACAAGCTACATTACGAAACTAGGTAAAATACTAAAAACAGGAGCATGTTTGCATTGATTTTTGCATTGAACTTAACAGATGCATAAAATTCCTTAGGGAGGTCAAAGACAACAGCTTCAGATCTTTTTGCAAGGTATTGCAGGAAACAGGAGCGGAGTAAGAAAAGGCTTTTTTGCTGAATTCAGTCCGCAGGGAACACTGAAAGTAATGATGTCTTGAGAGTGCACGCTGTAACTGCACTGACGACGAGACATAGGAGGAGATATACCTGTGGTTAGAGATTCATGAGTCTAACAGCTTCAGGGTAGAAGCTGTGTC